ACCTTAGTTTCGGAACAGAACGAAAACTGTCATTCTTCCTCTCAGCTCAATAACAATTCGAAAAAGGTCTGCTTTTTTTTTTTCTCCAGTAATAGGTTTTAGTTTTCGAACTTCCTTGGCCAGTGCATGTATACCTGAAATAGTCACGCTTCTGTTACAGCAACGCAAGGCATATGTCGGCAAATCGGCTGCGACCGCTTTTTTCAGGTAACGCGCGTCGAATATGGTGCGAGTCCGTGGTCGACTACTGCAATGCACTGAACCTCACGCCTAAATTCTTTTGTGAGCCACTTGCGCCCTACTGAATAATCGTTATTGTCGGGATGTGAGGTGTACTAATTGCATGCTACTCCATAGAATTCACTCGCAGAACACTAGCTCACAATGAGCACAGAGAAAGAGGCCTCATGAGAGCGAGCGGAGAGCGCGAGAAGTACAGTTTCTCTCAGGTCGACCAGTGCTTATGAGGGACGTTAGGGACAACATGTACCACCTGTCAACGTGCCGGGCCATTTTGCGAAGACGTGTAAATTCTCGTAAAGATTTACTTAACTTTACTAAATGACTGAATGCTACGAGGAGTAATTGACTGCAATTATGACATTTCTTGTTACGCCAAAGTAATTCACAATCGGCTAGAAAAAATCGAACCGGTCATCGGAAACTAGCGCTATTCTAGGTCAACCGTCGGATACGGAGAATTTGCGTAGCGACGATTAAAATTTGTTACTTGTGAGACTACGGTATCTGGAAACAAGCAGAAGAAGTCATGAAATGCGGGGAGTAGTGGGGAGATGAAATTCCTCATCCCTCGCTCGCAGTCGCTTCTTCACATCTTTCTGCACTAACACCACATGGCATACGAAGTTATTTCGCCTATTCCCTATGCTGTACCCTGATCGTAACATGTAGCGCTGGTGGGCGAGAATAGCGACGCTGCACCCCACAGACGAGTTGTCCAGCCTGATCGTCCGAATGACCAAATGAATGTCGGGATGGGGAAATTCGATATTGCCCGTCATGGAGTCTGACCCTGCTTGGATACATAGGAGTTTTGCTATCCAATCGACGATGAATGATCCCGCGCATACCGCATGACACTCCGCGCGCGGCGACGCGTCAAACTACGATTGTCTTGCCCATCTCCCTGCACCTCGTTCTCGCTCTCATCGTAACCCTGCGATTACCTCTGGGAATGTTTTGTTTTTTGCCTTGCCTAAGTCACAGTAGTGCTTTCATTTGCCTGGTGATAGGGATGATCTTTTTCTAGAGCATTGAACCAAAACTACCTGCAAAAAAAGATGACCGCCTGTTAAAATGGCATCGCACTCCCGCGTAGATCACCGCAGGCCCTTTAGAACTAACAAACCATGTTATGAATTTCACTTGCACCCCATTTCCAGTTTATGGAGAAGGCGTGCCTATGCACTTTATGTGGACGTGATGTAAGCGGAGCTTTGGGTGGGGCGCCGCCGTTTTGAGGCAGTTGTGATGTATTTACCTAGCACAATGTGTAATGTAATGTAATGCCGTTTTGAAGCAGTTGTTATGTATTTATCTAGCACAATACAGGATGGCACTGGGAAGAAACGCGTCCTATGCTACTTTCTAAAGGAGTACGAAGCCACGCCCTCCTCATCTCCGGGATGTGACAATAACGATTTTTCAGTAGGGCGCAAGTGGCTCACAAAAGAATTTAGGCGTGAGGTTGAATGCATTGCGATAGTCGGCTGCGGACTCACACCATATTTGACGCGCTCTACCTGGAAAACAAACCCAGTTTTCCAAGAACAGGCCGGATCTTAATCAGGTTATTCTCTACGTGGGCAGATTTGGATGAAAGTTGGGTTCTAGAGGTAATTGACCTCCTGAACTTGAACATCGCACCCACTTGGCCTGACCTAGGGTATTTTGGCGCTGGCGCTGAAGTAACCTAGGTTACTAAATCCGCTGAAAACTTGTATACGAAGACCATTTAACATCTTGATTGCATATATCACATTCATTTTTGGCGCTGGCGCTGATGGAAGACGCTGTGATTATCTGCGCTCTGGCATTGCTGGCCTGACCTAAAGGAAAACACTCTTTCTCACAGGCTCAGCCTTAGAAAAGGGTTAAATGGTGCTGGAGTGAATGTCATATTCTGTGACTGCTGTACGGTGGACGACACATGTGAAGAAGCGACTGCGAGCGAGAGGATGAGGAATTTCATCTCCCCACTACTCCCCGCATTTCATGACTTCTTCCGCTTGTTTCCAGATACCGTAG